TGACTCAGCCGGGATTCTAATCCGCGATCTTTTGCATCTGAGGCGGGCGCTTTAACCACTAAGCCACTGGAGCGGTGGAGGTAGCCAACAGGACGTCATGCTGTTGACAGTTACAATGACACATGCAAGAACCATTGTGATTGGATATAGTACATGTTACGAAATTCGCTGACAATGAGCACTGAAATATCGGATCGATCTGCCAAGATATAGATAGGTTAACAAACTAGAACCTTGGCTAGCGAAGATAGAAATAAATATAGCTGTATTTTTTTTCATCCTTTATTCCGTGGGACACTTTTGTTACCATTTATTTATAACTGAAGGTATCAGTTTAATCTGGCTTATCAATCTGGTGTTTACCATTCCATACAAACGAAAAGTATTAGAACAGATTAAATTTGAAGATCTTGTTAAACAATAAAAAAGAAACTGCAATTGATCCGACAATAAACTCAACGACTGATATGTATCAATTAGCCAAGACTTTAATCAAGATCGAGCATAGAATTATATTAATTAAATTTAAGTTTCCATTTTTAACTTAACGCATGACACAGTGACCTACTAAAAAAGGATTAATGACCATTGTTCTGACTTTGAATAGGCAGCATTAGTCTCATCAAACGACAATGATTGCTCATTATATGTAAATAAAGCGATCTGAAAATAACACAGACAATTATTTTGAAGGAAAGTAAAGTCATAGCCACCGCGAAATTCTGCACCTGATACTTACCGAATTGTTTTATAAATTATTCAGTTGAATTACAAAGTGCTAATCGACTTATTGAAGTAAATCATTACTTGAGACTATTGTGAATTCTGTGAAAGACATTATGGATCATATCATTTTGATACATCAAGATCGTTGTTATTTCAAGCGATTTGAGAATATAGGTTCACCAACACATTCAGTATTGACATTTAGTCCAAATCCTCTATACTATGGATTTATGATAGAAGATTTAGGATTATTTGGGACCTAATTCACAATAATTAAGTTCCTCTTAAATTCACACTTTGTAACTTAGAGAAATAAACTATTTATGCTACTAAATTTGTCCTATTCGTCTCTTCCTCTTACTTATTTTAAGGCCGTAAAGTTGTAGCAATATTTCAACAACTATTACTAGCATTATCAGGGCCGCGAAAGGATTTATGGGCCCTTGTAAATATGCTCCAGTGTGCCTCGATCTTCGGGGATGAGCCCCTTAACCGTTGTGGGCCGCCGGAATTTGTACCGTCCTCGGCCTTGATTATTATTATCATTCTTCTTCTTCTTCTTCTTCTTCTTCTTCTTCTTCTTCTTCTTCTTCTTCTTCTTCTTCTTCTTCTTCTTCTTCTTCTTCTTCATCTTCTTCTTCTTCTTCTTCTTCTTCTTCTTCTTCTTCTTCTTCTTCTTCTTCTTCTTTTTCTTCTTCTTCTTCTTCTTCTTCTTCTTCTTCTTCTTCTTCTTCTTCTTCTTCTTCTTCTTCTTCTGACTATTATTAGTAGTAATATTATTATTATTATTATTATTATTATTATTATTATTATTATTATTATTATTATTATTATTATTATTATTATTATTATTATTATTATTATTATTATTATTATTATTATTATTATTATTATCATTACTATTATTATTATTATTATTATTATTATTATTATTATTATTAGTAGTAGTAGTAGTAGTAGTAGTAGTAGTAATAGTAATAGTAGTAGTAGTAGTAGTAGTAGTAGCAACAGCTGCAGCAGCAGTAGTAGTAGTAATCTAAGTCCTATCATAATTTCTCAAGGTGAATCGGATCTATTTTTATCTACCCTGATTTCAAGTATTAATTCTCTAAATGCTGATACTGAATCAACTGAAATCTTTCTTCGACTCCAATACTTGTATTATGGAAGTGGGGGTATTTTTTTTGTTTCGACAATATCACCTTATGACAAAATTTTAGAAAAATGGATGCTGTCTATAAGAACTTCAGTCATTTTCAAAGCTTCTAAGCTGTATTTGTCGATTTATCGTTATCTAAAAAAAACCCGCTAATTAGACATCAGCAAAAGAATATTTCCGGACAAAAATCGATATGGAAAATGCGACAAATTCTGTTAGTAATGTCGGAAGATCTTCAAAGGCTAAAATGGCAGTGAGATTGCAGAGGTTAAAGTAATATAACTGACGGTAACGTTTGTCACATAAATTCGCAGCAGATATTTTGGCAAGGTGCTATTCCACTGTAATACTAGGCTATTTGAGTGCAAGTAAGAAAACAAAACAGAAAAGTTAAACAAAAATCATGTTGAAATAATAAAGTCAAAAGTGACATTTATTTCTTACGCAAAACATTTGTTTTTCATGTCGAAATTTTGCTTTTGTTCTTGTAAAATGAAACAATAACAATTTGTAATTTTAATTACATAATATCAGGTCTTGGTTTCTTAATATTCAGTTTTGATGTGTTCTAGTTTTAAAACACCTCTAGCAGCAGAGAGGGTGAACAGACAACTTTGCCTGAAACGTTTTTTTTTTTTTTTTTTTTTAAGTAAAGGTTCCTGCAGTAGCTGAGAAAATAAAACTTCAACAACGCTAAACCAGAGTCTCTTTCCACACGAGTATGTATTTAATCGTTTAATAATATCTTTGGTTAGTTTATTTTTGTTGACGTATTTTTATGATTTTGTAAGGCGATTTTGTTTACGAGTAAAGCGACTTAATTGTTGTCCTTCACCCTCTCTTCTGGTATGAATTAAGCAGCCATTATAAATATTATCAATAATGAGTATTGGAGAACCACACTCAGCTAAATTAGCTCGAGAACGATTAGAAGCAATTGAAAAATATCTACCCGTTCGTGATTCTATTAAGGAACAACTACAATCGCGTCAGGAATCGCAAGTTGAATTTGAGGAGGATGCAAAACAAATTATTTAAACCTATTACTGATACAACTAAAGATATTCAACCCGTGTCAGAGAAAACAGCTGAATCAACTGAAAAAATAGCAAAATGAACTAAGAAAACAAAAAAGATTATTGAAAAACTTCCAGCTGAAATAGCTGCTGCGATGCCAGTCCTGGAAATACCTGAGGATGCAGACAAAGCAGAAGAAACTGCTGTAGCACCACTAAAACCAACAGTTGAATTGATAGATACAATTGATGATGATTTTATTAGGTCAATTAAGAACTTTATAAAACTATATAAATTAGCTAAATTTGCTGTGGATAGATTTAGTTGAAGAGGTGAAATGAGGTGAATTCATGAAATCTGGACACGAAAAAGATAATAAAAAGCGTGAACAATGGCAAAAAGTATTATTTCGCAAAAACATGGATGTTAAACAAGCTAGAGCTGATGATCCATCATATCAGAATTATGCGAAGGAAATTGATAATTTAATCAAATCAAGAAGAGAGGAGAAAAAACATCTAAAAACAAAAGAACACAGAAATCATTTAAACAATCATTTAATGATTATTCAGAATTAATACCATCACCAAAACTTAGATTACCACCACTAGATAAACCAGCTCCACAAGAACCTAAACCACCATCACCACAACAAGTACAACGACAAGTACAACAAAAGCTACAACAACTAAAAGAGGAAAAATTACCACCGAAACCAATTGAAGAGGAAGAAGTATTTCATGACCTTCCTGGTGCAACTGCAGGTGGTCTAGGAAGTGGTCTTATTACTTGTCCCAATAATCTCCTTGCTGATGTTGAACGACTAGAAATTCTAATTGGTGGAAAACGAGCTGGTAATAATTCATCAGAAATCATTAATGAAGCAGCTGATATTTGTAAACGATTATTTATTGGCGGTATTATGGATATTAATGTGTATCAGTCTCTCATTAATGAAATTTCTGATGATTATTATAGCGACTTAGTCAAAGTGATTCGATACAATTAGTGATAAAGTCAATAAATAATAAAATGAGTGTGCATGGTGCTCAACGTGGACCTGAAATGGTTAGGGTAATAAACTCTCGATTACCAGCATACAAAGCAACCTACGGAGATGGACCAGGTGTTATTGTTCAGGTTCTATTAGAAGAATAGCCCCTAAAGCAATACCTATTGCAAAGCAGCTAGGTATGAAATCTATTGATGTTGTTCGTGAAAAAGGTATAGACGCTGCTGGTAACCTTGCTAGCAAAGCATTCTCAACGAGCAAAGATAGACTAACGCGATTAGTATGCAAACCACAACCCGTCCGAACTCAACCAGTGAAATGGCCCATCACTGAAGTGATGCCAGCAAGTGTAAGCAAAATAATAAATCAAGCCGCTAATCAAAAACTAGCGGAGTTAGTTGATGTCACAGTGTCGGAAAAAGTAAAAAATATAACCGCTAGTCTGATAGCAGGATGTGGTCTCACTTCTCGAAGTGATTTTCGTGTTAGACGAAGATGATAATAATAAAATATCTTCAAGCTTATAAGTGATCCTGCATTTGACATGGACTCACCAGTTCACAAAGATGAGTCTGTTTGCGATTATCAGTATTATTCTTATAACAAACGAATTCTAGATCAGCGTGAATGAATTGAACTACACGTTCAGGATACAAGTAGACATTTCTTACCCGCTGAAGCTTTTATTGAGATTGAAGGTGAAGTTTTAAATAACACTAATCCTGCCGCACCAGCAGCATATGCAGACGATGTTAGTGTTGGTTTTGTTAATAATGGTATTATGGCGTTGTTTCATAGCGCTACGTACATGATTGACAGACAAAATATAGAATCAATTCAAAAAGACGTTGCCGTTGCTACAACAATACTTGGTCTTGCAAGACACAGCGACGATTACTCAAGATCAGCTGGTCCATCAATGATGTTTGTAAAAGACACCTCTAATTCTCCAGAATACCACAATATGAAATAGGACGACCAAGAAATTTTGCCAGAAACACCGATGCGGATGTAGAGAGATTGATTATTAATCTAGATCCAGATTTCAACGTAGGAATTAGATCACGTCGAGCGATGGTAAAAGGAAATAGTAGAGCATTTTCAGGTGCAATTCCACTGTCACATATCTTTGGATTCTGCAGACATGTACGAAAGGTTA